AGCAGAACAGTTTGGTGCTTTAGTGCGTGAGCAGGAGAAGAGGGCTGCATGGAAGACTGGACAGTTGCAACACATACGCAAATCTGAGGAGCAGAAGCGCATGCGTAATTCACAAGTGGAAAAGATTAAATCAGAGATGCTCAACTTGCAAATCCAACTTCACAGTATGAGCTCCACTAATTGCAGTAACACCTTCCCTGAAGGCAAAGACAATGGAGAAAGGAACCTTTCTGTAAATTTAAACCTGGCTCAGACTACCCCTGACAAAAGGGATACTGATTTCAAGAAAAAGGGTCTTAATTTAAGCTTTGACTTGTTATTTACTCATGATATGAATGAATCTCCTAGAAGTGAAAGAACTGGAGTTCCATCTGCAGAGAACTCCAGAAAACAGTCAACAGATTCGCTTTTTGAGATCACTGAACTAAAGGACACAGCTAATGATAACATGTTCTTCAATTCCGATTTCAGGCCTCAGAAAAAATCCCATGTCAAGGGAAACCCACTAAAATCAGCAGTACAACTAATAGGGGATGGAGTTTCACATGTGCAATCTCTTGGTAGTATGGCTGTCATGAATCTTGTGAACTTCTTGAATATTGACCATGAAAAACTAGATTCAGCTGATCATTCTTCTGACGACGATGTATATTATGAGATAGAGAATCTGGATTTTGGTGGTGAACATACTGAACAGACACATTCCATGCTATCTGATAGTGACCGGAACATGTCTAACTCGAATGTTGCATGCCTACAAATCAGGATCATATTCCACTATATTTGGGACCAAATGAGATCAAATAATGATGTTGTTTGTTACTGCTGCTTTATTCTGATTTTCCTATGGAATTTTAGCTTGCTTTCTATGGTTTATCTTGCCAGTCTCTTCTTATATGCTCTGTGCGTAAATACTGGTCCAAGCCACATGTTCTGGGTTATTATGCTAATATACACTGAAGTGTGTATTTTGCTTCAATACTTATGTCAAATCATCATCCAACATTTTGGGATAATTTTTGAAGCCAGATTGCTTCGGGAGTTGGGATTTCCGGCACACAAGATCATGTCTTCTTTTGTGATCAGCCATTGGCCTCTTTTTTTGGTGTATTTGTTTACTCTCTTACAGTCAGCCATAACTGCCAGAGATGGTGAATGGGCAGCAGCAACAGAGTTCAGTTTTACTAAAAAAAATCATTACCAGGAAATGGCTGCATATAGTTTTGGTTTCATTAAGAGAATAAAGGGGCTGCTTTTACCTATAAGAAATGTGATGGAAGTGTTGATTAGAAATCTTTACAGGTACTGGAAATCTCTGACAGAGGGAGCAGAAACTCCTCCCTATTTTGTGCAGCTGTCTATGGAAGTCAATTTACCACCTGAGGATAGCATTCAACCAGAGACAATTGAATCGAAAATGAACAAGTTGCTGAAGATCATGCATGATAGAAGATGCAGGGAGAATCTCAATAATTATCCCGCAAGTAGAGTTAGAGTTCAAAGCATTGAACGAAGTCCAGAAAATATTAATGTAGCTCTGGCTGTTTTTGAGGTGTTATATGCCTCCCCTTCAGGGAAATCTTCCTTTACAGATTGGCAAAGGTCGCTAACTCCAGCAGCTGATGTAACCAGTGAGATTCTAGATGCTTACCATGCTGATATTTTTAAAGAAATAGGATTCCCTTACATGATACTATCGGTAATTGGTGGATGTAAGAAAGATATAGACTTGTATGCCTATGTATTTTGTGCAGATTTGGTTGTTTTCTTCTTGGTGGCAATTTTCTACCAATCTGTCATAAAAAATAATAGTGAGTTCCTTGAAGTTTACCAGCACGAAGATCAATTCCCAAAAGAATTTGTCTTTATCTTAATGGTACCCCTCTTTCTCTTGACACATTGTTCAATTTTTTATAAAATCATTGAAGTTCTCTTTTAGGCCAGTTGCTAGAGTTTGACATACTACTTTACATGGGAACTATCACTACCTCATTGCATGGATCAGGTCAAGGATTCTATGATAGTAGCATTCTATGTATATTTCAGTTGTCTTATAATTGTGAATCTAAACTACAAAATTATCACATAACAAAAAATTTTCCTCCCTGAAAAAATCATGGATTGCTCTAAATAAACTCTTTTCTAGTGCTTGTATGACTCAGTTTGATCAACATTTTATATTAACATATGGAAATGGACCCCTCTTTTCTTTTTATTCCATATGTGAAACAAGCTTCTTTATCATACCAAAATTGTCCATGTTAATGTGAGCTTATTACTCTTAATCTCAATGTATTCTGTAAGGTTATGAATTAAAAGGTTAGATCTCTGAAATTGATAGAGATTTGTTTCCCCATTGCAGGTTATCTTTTTCTTGATAGTGCTGGATCGCATCATTTACCTTTGTTCATATGCCACTGGGAAAGTTATATTCTATCTTTTCACTCTTGTCCTCTTCATATACTCTGTCACGAACTATGCGTGGCACATGGAGCCTTCAGACAAACATGCTGGAAAGTTTGCACTCCGCGCTATTTACCTCATGAAGCTGATTTCCTTGGCTCTGCAGGCCATACAAATCCGATTTGGGATTCCACATGAAAGCAATTTGTATCGGCAATTTTTAACAAGTAGCATTTCACAAACTAACTTCTTGGGTTTCCGAATTTATCGTGCTCTACCATTCCTTTATGAACTTCGATGTGTACTTGATTGGTCTTGCACAACCACATCTTTGACCATGTATGATTGGCTAAAGGTATGTTGTCACATATAAACTGCTTTGTTATTTTTGTTCAGCATCTACTTTCTGCTTCTTATATGAGGTGCAATCATATCTAAAGTTTCTTTTCCTGAAATCCTGTTGTTTTCCTTACAAGAAACTTGTAAGCTTGATATTTTTGGATCTAATAATTGCTTTCTCTGTAGTTGGAGGATATCCATGGAAGCTTGTTTCTTGTCAAATGTGATGTGGACCTAAATAGAGCTAAACACCAACAAGGACAAAAGCAGACAAAAATGACTAAATTTTGCAGTGGCATATGCTTGTTTCTCGTACTGATTTGTGTCATATGGGCCCCTATGCTGGTAAGAATCTCAGAGTATACATTCTAGTTTTTGAAGTTCTGATAAGCAAATTCTAGATTTCTAGATTTGCTGGAAGAACTCCACAGCATCAGTGATTGATTTATGCAGTGTGGGGGGCTGGGGATTGTGTTTTGACAGATGTACAGCAGCGGTAACCCTACAAATATTGCAAACCCTATTAGAGAAGCCAGTGTTCAGATTGATATAAAGACAAGTAGTGGAAGGCTTACGTTGTTTGAGACCACTTTGTGTGAAAAGATCTCATGGAATGATGTAAAACGACATATTGATCTTGATCCTGAAGGTTACTTAGATAATTATAATGAAGAGGACATTCAACTGATATGCTGCCAACCTGATGCAAGCAACCTGTGGCTTGTTCCCCCAGTGGTCCAGGCCAGATATATCAAATCTCTCCTGTGGAACATGGACATTGTTTTCTCTTGGCAATTTACAAGGGATAGGCCCAGAGGGAAGGAGGTTGTGAAACATCAATTACTTGTAGCAGATCAGGATCTTCCTAAATCAGCAGAAGTGATGCAAGTTCTTAATGGTACTGCCAATAGTTTTAGGATGTTTAATATCTATCCAAGATATTTCCGGGTTACAGGTTCTGGTGATGTGCGGTTTCTTGAACAGGCGGTATGCCATTTCCAATATCTTGCAAATATATCCACCTGATTATAGTCATTTAGATTAATTATCAATATAATTTTTTATGCTATGTGCTACGCTGTCTGTGGAGACAACATTAAACATATCACATTTTACAGGTAGATATGGTTAGTGGGGATCTTGTTCTGAATCGTGGAAATCCAGAGTGGTGGTCTTTTCGGGACATTGGTGCATCAGATGGAACTGGATGCGGTGAGTTTGCAGGACCAATGGCCATAATTGTATCTGAGGAAACACCGCGTAAGTTCTAAAAGAGTGATCATAACAGCTTTAAGGCCTACATGCAAATCCTATGAAAGTTGCTCTACATTTTTTACTTCACAATTAATTTCAAACAATTCGATCTTGTGCTGCTTCAGAAGGCATTCTCGGGGATACACTCAGCAAATTCAGCATTTGGGGACTGTACATTACCTTTGTGCTAGCTGTAGGCCGTTTCATCAGACTACAATGTTCTGATCTGAGAATGAGAATACAATTCGAAAACCTTCCTTCGTGTGACAGGTCTGTTAGTTCTATCTCCAAACCCTTTTCTTCACTTCAGACCCATGTCATCCTGACGCTTCAAGTCATGATTATTTTCTCCCTGACGATGCAATACCTATGCATTGAAACCAGCTTTTGCTGACATTTGTATTGGTTCAGGTTACTAGCAATCTGCGAGGATATATATGCTGCAAGAGCTGAGGGTGAGCTTGAGGTTGAAGAGGTCCTTTACTGGACTCTAGTCAGCATTTATCGATCTCCACATATGCTGCTCGAGTACACGAAGCCTGACTAGATCATCAAGAATCAATCCTGTTAATCTAACGTTGATGCCATCCATGGCAATTGAAGTGAAATTTTGGGCATTCATTTTGCAGTTTGTGTACTTAAAACTTACAAGTTATCGTTATGAGAGAAATTATTTCATCCACTATTAGTAAAACTTTTAAACACGTTCTTCTTAAAACATACTAAAAACAAAAATTAATTTAAAAAAATGATATGTATCAATTTCTTAATTTTATGTCACTTATGTAGCTAAAAAATTATATTAATTATGCAATTAAAGCTTAATAAGTTGTGCCACCCTTTTTTTTTTTCTAAAAATTCTAATGAATTTTTTCAACTAAAAATTAAAATATCCTCATTTATGTAGCATTGTAAATGGATAAATAAATAGTTAAATCTCTATAAAAATAGTTTTAGAAAAGAAAATACTATACAAGTAAATAGATTTTGTTTTTTAAGTCTAAACGACACCGTTCTGTTTAAAAGGCCTACGACAGAACAAAAATGGAGGATACAAAATTAATCTTTTCAAAAAAAGAAATCTTAGCGGCAAAGCTATCAGACGCGCCTTGCGTCGACCAGCCACAGCTCTTCTACTGATTCTAGAGGTCTATTCGCTGGCTTTTTGTTCAATTTTCTCGTTCTTGTTTGGTTCCTAAGAAAATATTGGATTTTCCCCTTGGAATCAAGAACCAAACTAAAGCTTTGTCGATTCTTCACATTTCTTAAACCCTAACAGCTTTGGTAAGTTCTCTCTCATAAATGATCCCAATTTTTTATTTTTCATTGATTTCTGTTAATCTATTACACTTTAAACTTCTGTAAGTTAATTTGAATTTCTTTCTATTTTGGCCTTTAACTGTACTGTTTATTTTCCCGCAGCTTCTAGCATGAAAGGTGTTTGATCTTTTGCCTCAATGAGAATGCTCAAAATTTTAGCGTTATTTCTAATTAATAAAATTAAGTTTCTTTTTCTTAATTATAGAAAAAAAATTACTAGTAGTTGCAGTTGTGATGAATTTGGGCAGGGAAGCCAACGACAACTTCTAGTTCACTGAAGGAATATCTAAAAGGATACGAGAGAAAAAACGAAGAAGAGGAACTGAAGAAGAAAAGGAAGAAGAAGAAGAAGAAGAAAACCCAAGTAGAGTCCTCAGGTGTTTTAGTTGTTGATGAAGACCCTGTCTGGCAAAAATCTGTTAATCTCGAAGAAGACGGTGATGCCAATGATTCGCCCGGTTAGTATAAAAGCTATTATTTATTTATTTATGATTTAGGTTTGATGACTTTATAATGTTTAATTATTGGTTTATGTGTTTTTGTTGTTTTTTTAAGATGAGAAGCTGCTAGTGGATGGGGATATAGAAGCAAAACGAATGAAAAGGCTGGAGAAAATTAGGCTGAGGAGGGGATACAATGCTATGGCTGAGGATGGTAGTGGCTGGGTTTCGCTTTCTCCTAAACATCTGAATATGGTGGATCCTAATTATGATATTTCTCCTCCTCGTAGGCAGAGGAATAGAAATGACACACCTTCTCCAGAACCTGGGGTGAGGTATTCAAACTCTGAAAGAGAAGTTGAGGATTTGTCACCACCAAGAAAACTGCGTTCCCATGGTTTAAAATCTTATTTATCACCCCCAAGGAGAAGTAGGGCTCAGAATAACACAGCATCAACAAGAGAAGATGCTGATTTATCACCTCCTCGTAGGAGGGCAGCTCGGATTGACTCACCTGAACCTCAAGTTAAGGCATCGAGAGAAGGTACTGATTTATCTCCTCCACGGAAAAGGAGGGTTCGGAATGACACACCTTCACCAGAACCTGTAGTGAACAGAGCAGACAATGATTTGTCACCACCTCGGAAACGGAGGGCTAGAAACGACACACCTTCACCAGAACGCAGGATGAAGCCTTTGAGAAGAGATACGGATCTGTCACCTCCATGGGAAAGGTTGAGATGCCACCATACAGCCTGAATTGCCCCCACCTACACAATCTCATCCTCAAACGTTAGAGATTATTCATGATTCGGATCTCCCCCTTCCAAGGATAAATAGGAGGGAATCAACTGGTCCTGCTTCTCCGAAGGAGCAGCTTAAAACTGGTTTAATTTCTTGCAGTGAAATCTGGGAGGAAATTTCTAAAACCAAGAAAGATGATTGGTTAAGGTATCTATTCCGTCTAAGTATCTAGATATAATTCATTTTTCAGAAATTCTCTGTTGGTATTCTACCTTTTCCATCCTTGAAATGTTAATATAAATGGGTGAAGTTATAGGTACTCAGTCACTAATGAATGACCGTCCTTGAGTTTGATTGTAGACTTTAGCCAGTTTTGTTTTCAGACAAACTGCAGAAGTGGCTTCTTCTTTTTTGTATGCAGTAATTATTAGATGTGGCATTAAGAATATCGAGTGAAATCATTGAGTCTGAGGTATAGCCATGCTCATGTGGTAACCTGTTGTAGGAATTTATGGATTATTCCATGATGACATTGGTGAAATACCTTTGTTGATGAATTGAGAGAGAGGTGTAATATAGAATTGCATGCAAACTAAGGAGCAAAGGAATCTCTCTAGTATTTTACTTTGGGTGACAACTTGATATAGGCAATACTTTTGGTAGCATGCTTGCATATATCTATACATAAATACACAAACATTCAGAATTGACTTTATGTAACTTTTAATTTGACTCTATCTTGTGTGCTTCAATAGTTAGAATTGCAAATTGTGTGTGTGTGTGTGTGTGTTGGGAGTGGGGTGGGGGAGGGGGGAGGGGGGGAGAGGGGTAGGGGGGTTCTGCATTGCATTTAATTTCTGTAGTCTTTGGTTTTTCTCTGACTTAATTTTGGTGCCTTCTCAGGTTTAAGGAGATGGATCCATCTGTAAGCGGACGAGGTGCAGAACCTGTATATCGTGATAAGACAAAAGGTAAAGGACAAGTCATTTTAAGTGATATCTAGTTCAAAACACATGCATGCTTTCATCTGGCTCACACTTTCCTCATGAATCCTGCAGGGGAAGGCATATCAAAGGAAGAGTACCTGAAGTCAAAACAAAAAGGGGAAGATAAGCCCAAGTATAACATGGAAAAGTTAGCTGTTGAGTTGATAATTGTGTTTCTTCTTTCTTAAACTTCCTATGTAGAGCATTTATATGTTCTTATCTTCTGCTTGATTTAGATTATTTTTTCACTAATTTTGCTGCATATAGCAATTTTATATTTACAGCTTATACTTGCAGGGATGACCCGGAGCTCGACAATAAGTTGAAGGATAGACTAAGATGGGGTGACCGTATGGCACATTTGGTCAAGGTAATTAACTACTTGTTTGATATTAATGAGATTTTAGGTAGTTTGACACTGAGTTCACATATATATATATATATATATATTTTTTATGAATTGCAGAAAAAGCATTCTGAGCCAGTTCTTAGAGACCTAGGGGATGCTGAGAAGATGAAGGAATCAGGGTTTATAGTTCCTCAAGACATTCCTGCACATAGTTGGATAGTAAGAAAGATGCTGCACCAAATGGATACGGTATAAGACCAGGAAGGCACTGGGATGCAGTTGATCGTAGTAATGGTAAATTTAATTCTATTATTATTTCAAAAATCCTTGGTCTCCAAGTTCATTCTCATTCCAAATCAAGTTTTTGTAAAAAAAAGAAAAAAAAGAAAAAAAGGACGATGCTAATCAGCTGTATATCTTGTAGGTTTTGAGAAGAAAATGTTCACAAAATTAAATGAGAAACGGGCCACAGAAAGGGAAGCGTGTCTTTGGTCTGTATCCGACACGTGATTCAAGACATCCACCGCATTCTTTGAGTACTCAACCAATGCACTGGTTGCCAGCTTCAAATATTATTTTTTTTATGCCTGGTCTTAATTTTCATCTCGTCTTTCAATGATCATATTATAGGGTTATAATCGAGTCAAGTGGAGTTGATATAGTGAAAGCTTGAACTTGAGTTGAATTTAAAACTCGGCTTGAGTTTAATCAAGTTTTAATTTTCAAGTTCGAATTTAATTTCAGATAAAAATCAAATTATTTGAGTTTGATCAATTAAATTTAATAAAAAATGAGTTTAATCTTCATGTTTGATTTTCAAATTTGATTATGTGTTTGAATTCGAGTTTGAATTTAAATTGATATATATTTATATAGGTAAAATAATAATTTTTTAATTAAAATAATAAATATATTAAATTTTAAAATTTTGATTAGGCATATGAATTATTTGAATTAGTTATTAAGATATTTAAATATAAATTATTTGATAAATAAAATTATTCAAATTTGATTTGATAATAAATGAATTGAATTTGAATTTTATTTAAATTGAAATTTAATAGCTTGCTACTATTGATAATATATTATTTATATGATTCTCTAATTTTGATTAAAGTTGATGCATGAATGTCTCAAATGGACGATTCTACAATGATGAGTGAAGGCCAAAGTGCATATTCAGCCTGTCTCTTCAAAGCTCTTAAGAACTCTATTTAATGGCACTGGGATTGCAATCTTATTGGAGAGCAGGAAATTCTTTCATGAGTTGAAAGTCAGAGATGCTTATTGTATATTTCTGACCATCTAGCCAGTGTTTTTCCTCCATGGTTAACTCTTGACTGCTTTATTTCATTTCAAATCAATTTTCATATACTTTTTGGATGTCTCTTTTGTACATATTGTATATAAATTTAATAATTTTAAATATACATAATGATATGATAAAAGAAAAAGAGATTAAAATCGAATGTTTTAAAATTTTAATAAAAATTATATATAAATTTGATTAAGCTATTTTTAGAGTTTATGATAAGCATTGTAAGGTTTTTAAGGCACGTCTAAATCAACTTGTCCTAAGATTTTTAAATCTTCTCAGACCAATCAAACCGAACCAATGTCTACCGATGTTGAACCATGGATTGATCTTTACACCAAAAAAAAAAAAAAAAAAAATCCATGGCAATTTTTATTCCCAAATTTTGAACTATACAACACCTAACAAGCTTTTATTAATACATAAAAATGTACACCCCATGAGTACACTCTGACAACGATTTTCTACTATCAATTTAGACAAAGAAAAAGAAAAAAAAAAAAAAACTGGGTGGTTTTGGTATTCGACATTTCTATTGGAAAAAATCAAAGATGAAGTTCCAGCATTTTTAAAAAAAAAAAAAAGTGTTAGCATCTGAAATTTTTTAAAATTGGCAAAATGAAACTTCAAATCATTTCTTTGTTTTTTTTAATTCCTTAGCTGAAGCTTGGAGAACTGGAGATTACCCATCTTTCACCTCCAAATTTGGTTGAGACACATCGGCCTTACCTTCCGTCTCTGCTTGACTCAAAAAACAAATTAATTAATCCAACAAATTATGAAACAACGATCTTCCCCAACAAAACACCACCATAATTTCTTGTCTTTTTTTTTTTTTTTGGGTTTTCACATCATATGATTATTCACCTTGTTGTCACACATGGCTGCCTCCACACATGCAAGCTATGATGGTCATTGATATGACGATGGTGATGATGGCTCATAACCAGCTCATTACATCTCCTGAAACCTTCTCCACTCACTCTAAACTTCCATAATTCTTCGAACTCTTCTTCTTCTTCTTGCAAATGTAATTCTTGTTCTTGTTCTTCTTGCTCTGTCTCTTCTTGTTCTTGTTCTTCATTGATTTTATAGCTAACATCACTGCTAACAAGATGCAATCTCAAGCGACCATTTTCCCTAACAGCATGTAAAACCTCAGATCTTTGAATCCTAACCTCAGTTAACTCCAACCTCCCATTTTTCCTTACAGGCTTTAGATAAAAACAAGGCTGACCATTTTGGTTCAATGAAGAAAGTGGTGGTGGAAACTTGTTGTTATTACTCCTTTCTGATCTCTTCTCTTCACTCCTTTTCCTTCTCCATCCCTCCCTTTCCCCTTCACTCAACTCCATATGATGTCGATGATCATCATAATTACTCTCATTATAATTATAGTTATCATCATCATCATCAACTCTCCTTTCATCACAACTCTCAAACCCTAAACTCTCCGTACATGACATGAGTCCATCAACCCCACCACCCATATCATCTTTAAACCCTATCCCACCAGGGTCTTTCTTTTTCGACGGAAGTGCTGTTGCTGCCATCATAGAGGACTCGATAATATTTGGATTACCAACCCTAGGTGTTTCATGGGAAACCAACGTGCCTAACCCACATTTGGAAACAGCTGGAGGAGGAGAATCCATAGCATTAGACAACCCCAAGACCAACGTGCCTAACCCACATTTGGAAACAGCTGGAGGAGGAGAATCCATAGCATTAGAAAACCCCAAGAAAGAGTTTACACTTTTCTTACAGAAGTAGTACTTCAACATGATCATTCTCAATGCAAAAAGGAAGACAGAGGCGCAGATGAAGAAGGAAAGAAGGTGAGGGAAACAAAGGGCCATAAGGTAAAGAAAACAAAAGAAAAGGGGTTTGGGGTTTGGCTTTTGATGATTATAATGAAGAAGAAAAGTGAAGAAGAGAAGGAGATGTGGGCATTAATAACGTCCTCAGGGCGAAGATAGGGGGTGAAATAGAGAAATGAAAACGAAAATGGAAAGTGGGTGTGTGGGTATGGTGAAGTGCCAACGTGAATCGTGAGCTGTAGTGATAGAGCAAACGGTGCCGGGTCCCACGACTCATGGCCTTACCCTTCGGTTGCTATCAACTGACCATATTTTCCCTTCCTTTTCTCTTTTTCATTTATTCTCGTGTATATATATTGGCAAAATTGATGGGATGGAAAACCTAAATTTAACTGATATCCTTAGTAGATTTGATAATTTATATGTTGCCATAGCGTAAAATATTAAAATTTATATATTTATGTTATATTTTTTATAAAAATTATATATTATAATTTATGTTGAATTAAATATAAAATATAATTTTTTTATTTTATTAAATTTAGATATAAGTATTACTAAAATTTTAAGTTATGTTATTTTTTATATCTTATATTCATATAGTATTTGTGTCATATTATTATGTCATATTTTAAATTATCAAATTTAATTCATTAAATCAATTGATATGTTATTAGAATTAATATTTGAAAATTATAAATTCGAAAAAGTTTAAACATATAATATTTTTTTCAACAAAAAATGTAATAAGATAGAAAAAAGTTTTAAAGATAAATTAAGAATTAAAAAAAAAAACTCAATTTGGTCATATAATTATTTTTACTAAATTACTTATAAAATTTTTTAACTTTAAGTTATCAATTTTTTATATAAAAAAATTAATGAAATGAAATGGTTGATGGAATTGTTTAATAATCATTGAGATATGATCATTTTGTTGGGAGTTGCTTTGTTATTTGTTTGTTTTGGAGATAAGAACACATTTGTTGGCCAAATACATTTCTCATTAAGGAATTGTTTGGTTATAATGAACCAAATAAGTAGTTTATACAATAGAAAAGATTACATCCTCAAAGTTTCAGAAGTATCCTATTATTTAGGGATGATGTTTTTAATTCTATTTTTTTTTTAATCTTGAATTAACTAATTAATTACCAAGGTATAGAACTATTGTCAAAAGTAAAGTTTGCTTATTTTGAACTTGATATTGAACATATTTAATTGTTTTTTCTTTAATAAGCAAAACCAGCAAATTGGTACATTGAGCAAATTGAACAAAGACAATGCTTTCATGTATTGTCCTTCAAGTAACACACATGATTGCAAGATTTTGTGCTGTTGTGCACATAAAAATCTTCTAAACATATTATATCATTTTCTAATATGTTTGGTAATATTATATATATATATATTAATTTTTCTTTTCAACAAAGCTCAAACTCTGTGGACCACCTCTTTAATATTATTACAAGTAATTCATATCCAAAAAGCAAGAAAAAATAAAACTTTCATTGACAATGATACTTTCAAGTCTATGAACCTTCACTTTTTTTTTTTTAAATAAAGGGAAGTTCTTTTAACATAGTTATTAATAATTAGACCAATCATTTTTCTTGGCTTCATGATATTTTTGGCACTAGTGAACAATTTATGGAAACTGATTTTTGTGGAAAAAGTGAAAGAATTTGAGTAATTGCTACAAAAATTGCATCCCCAAACTTGATAAGCTAAGCTTTTGCTGGCTATTTTTGTTGACTTGCTAATTTTTTTAAGGTAGAGTCATCAAGCTGATTGGATTTTGTGGATATTCCTTGGATATGCAATCTAAAAAATATATAATTTAATTAGTTTTTTTTATTAGATCTCAATTAATTTTTGAAGACAATATTTAAATTTTTTTTATCTTTCAATTGTGATTTTTTTTATAAAAAGATGAAAAAGAATAATTACATACTTTAGTGTTCTAATAATTATTAAGAAGCTATATGTGTTTATGGTTTTGTCAGAGTCTATAAACCAAATTGAAATTTATGAAGAATTATTTGATACTTCAATTTTATGCCGAAATATTTTAAAAATATGCTATAATACGTAAATAAATATTTAAATTTAAATATATAAGATATCTTTTATTAAAAAAAAATTGATATCTTCTTTTAAAAAATAATATACTTTACAGATTAAGTACGAATCTTTACAATTAGTTATTGTCTAGTATCAACATGAGCTAAAGCAATGCATCTTTTATTCTTATTTTGCAAAGGAAAAAAAAAATGAAAGATTGAAACCTCCTATAAAGGTTTGCAAAATAAGTTTTGAATTGTCAAAGATAATCCTACACACATTTTTCTGTTAGAGGAGAAAATGATAGATAATTTTTTTTTCTAGTTTTTAATTATTTTTCACAATAAAAGTAGCACCACCCACTTCTTATCTTAGAGGAGAAAATGACGTGTAAGAAGAATAGTCATGCACATGTCTAAGGCAAAGACACATTTTGGCTTTCTCCTTGCATGTTTCACTCCATCCAAGTCCTTTTCTATTTCCCAAATTTAATTTCCATTGATGTTTTTTTCCCTATTAATTTATCTATTTATTCTAGTATCTTCCTGATCGTGATCTGCAAAATGTTTATTTTTTTTGGACATATATAATGTATTATTATATAAATCATATCATTTAAAAAACGATACGTAAATATAATATAAAAAAAATAAAAATAATTTGAATTAAAATTTCAATAAAAATTATATATAAATTTAATAAAAACTCAAAATTATATTCGTATTTTTCGTATAAACACAAATTATGATATATATAATTTTATATACGAATATATAAATTATTATTATTTTATACTATATAAATATACAAATGATCTCTTACCTTTGAGTTTCTTATAATGTCTTTTTCATGCATCTTGGGGAAAATTTTTAATTTTTTTATGGCTCTGGACTACTTCAAATTTGGTTTACAATTAATAAATAGTATTTTTGTCTCGTACTCATCAAACCCGTTTAAATAAAAACCTACCATATAATGTATATTTCTTTTTCAATTAAAAAGTGACATAAATTAATCTTGAAAAAAGAATTATAATTATAGTTTGGTTAGTAATAAGGGTGTCCAAGGTTGGAGAGGATTAGACCTAATTAACACCTTTAAAACCTTGTTCAAAATTTGATTTAGTTCATCCATTTGGGTTTAAATAGATTTATTTATTTAAATATTATTTTAAAATATATTTTAAAATAATATTTAAATAAAAACTAATTTTTATTAATAAAAAAGGATTGTAGACAACCCCATGTCATTTTTATTTTCTTGCCTTAGTTTGGCCTTAATTGATCAAATTTGTTAAGTTATTGGAAGAAAAAAAAACCCATAATTTTGTTTCAATTATTAATAGTTTTATTATCAATACATGTGATATTTCAATCCCATATAAAAAAATTTTGTAAATTTATTATAATATATAAGTTAAGGGTTAATTTTAAATTTGTAAAACGTAATTTGTAAAATAAAATTATAAAATTTTTTAATTAAAATAAACAATATTTCTTAAGTTTGATACGGATTTTTAATATATATATATATAATTAGATAATTGATTTTTCAACTTTGTTTTTGTTTATTTATTTGAAAATTAATTAGATCGATTCTATTATTAATTATTGGATACTATCTGCCAGTCAGTACTGTATTTAATGGTGCATAGCTAACATTCTTGAGAAAACGTGATTCCCTTTGCATGATTTATATATGTTGCGTAACAAGTTCCACCAATTCTCCGATTACCATTTTTAATTTGAGACCCACTAACTCTTCTTTTTCCCCCAAATTGATTCCTCAAAGATTATTTTCTCTCAAAATCAATTTTCAAAAATTTCATAACTTCGTGCTATAAACTTTTAATTTTTTTTTATATTTAAAATGGTTAAAATTTAAACCCTAATCATTAAAATTAAAAATTAAATGCTATATTAATAATCAAGTGACTGTTGAGAGAAAAAAATGACGGCAAAAGAAAATAATATTATACAATAAATTCAACTTAAGCTCCATCAAATGTAGCTTCCAGCTAATCAAATACAGGCAACCTTACAGATATATATATATATATATATATATATATATACATATATGAGTAGGAATTTGCTTATATTAATAGTTTAATTTATATATATATATATATATATTTTTTTTTTAATTTTCGAAACTACTATTTTGATTAAAATGAGTAATGGATTTAAAGTATATAACTGGCTGGCTAGGGTTGATGTATCTTAAGTAGTGTCAGCTTTGGTATGGGTCTGTTTCTCTTCCTTTCTATCACCATGATCAGGCTTATCAGCATAACCAATCCCTCTTCTTTTGGTTGGGAAAAGCATGAACAAACCGCTGGCTAATAGCCCACCTGCTAATGGCAAATTTGTCATCAGTGCATTACCATTTGCCCCCGGTTCAGGAAAAAAGCAACCTTGAACATCAAAGCTGCTACAAGCCATTACTAAAAACAAAGTTACGGAGCCAAAGGCATGAACAAAATCTATGGGGGTGAGTCTATACTTTCTTAAAATTTTCTTGGCTTCTTCCTCGTTGTTCTCCAAGTCAAGACCATCATCACGCTCATCGTTAAAAACCCAAAGTCCTTTGATGGTGGCAAGACCATAGTAAAGCTTGTTATCGCTGCCCACAAAGCTGTCAGTGAAGGAAGATAAGAAACAACCAAGTGAACATACTATAATAAGACCTAAGACCATGTATTTGTGAACTATTTCACATTTTCCATTGTTGGAGAATGAAGGTATGATGGCTTGGAACGCGAAGACGGTGCCTGTTGGAAGCAGGTTTACTAGGTTGGCCGTGCCTGGTAGCGCCTTGGGGGCGAATCGTGGGATAGAAGCTCTATTGCTTGCCATGGAGAGAAGAGAAGATCAGTTTTTTGTTGTTTGCTTGTTTATGGGATATAATTTTCCAGGTGGTGTGGTTTTATATATATAGAGGAACTAGGCCTGTGAAGACTGAAGAGTTTGGTTTGGCTGGATTGAGCTGCATAAATTATCCGAAGTAGGGCCTTTTGATCAGAAATAAATTGTCATGGATACTTTAATTATGAACTAATTTATTTGCCATAAAAAACATCAAATGACATGTGACATTTGCTTATTCCAATTTGCAACTTAGAGTGGTTGAGAGAATCACCTGAAAAGAAATTAATTAATTAACAGAAGAGAGGTGTGACAGACCACTTTGCACCAAGCTGCACATTTTCTGTTCCTTGATATACATACATTCACAAGATCACTATCAATAATGGAAGGTAGAATATTTCATCTGCTAAAGTCTTTCCACTCCTGCAAAATTGATTCTGACCACCAGTTGATAACGAGAACAAATAACTGTCCCACCTCTTAAATAAGTTTTTTCCTTTCTTTTTTTATGCCAATTTCCATGCCAAACAGCTGCAAGAATACTTCAAGGGAGAGCTTTGAACCATGTGTTTCATGAGATATATGATAACTTTGATAAGAACAGTAACCTTCCAACATGCATTTAGGTTTGTAGGCAACCAAAGTAGTTATTTAGTGGGCTCCAAAGATTCATGCCAAAAATGAAATACAATAGAGGTCCGACCAGGCAATAGAAAACTAACATCGATATCTTGCTTGATATATAATACCAGATGATCATAAGTTCCATTCCCTGATTGTATGTATGTTGCTTGATCATATATAGTTTATAATGATTTGAAGGTGCTTCAATGTCTTCAACCATGGCCAACTAGTTATTGATTCTGATTTATCACCAATGGTTGGTCATTGCCTGAAAGATTTAACTTTATTCCCCATTTTCTTGAACTAGAAGGAATAGAACTCTTATTCCCTTGGTTTCACCTGCAATATATAGTTTCAGAGATAGACAAGCTTTTTGGTCAAGCAATAATTCGGGCCATTAAGACTGCTAAAGGAGAAGAATCGGATCTAATAGTCAAGTCCATTGGAGAACAATCATCAGTAGTGCATGCTAACATCAAAAACATGTACATGGAAACATATCAGGTTTAAAGAGCTTCCAGAGAAGTTTAAAAATAAACTTTCGTCATCTGCAAAATAGAGAACTTCTCAAATGCCCTTCCTTGTTATACATACATTTCTAGGGAAACAAACACATTGCATGAAAATGGAAAATCCAGGCCAGGTTTGTTAGTTAAATAACAAAAAATGAAGCATTTCAACAGTAACTGTTATGACTTAGGTCCCCTTTAATCATGGGGTTCCTAATTTCCCTTTGAAGAATATCTTGTCTCTTGCCATGCGCCGCTATCCCCTTTAGGTGCAATTATTTTTGTGTTATACCGCTCTTGTCTTGGCATCCATCAACTAAATTTGAAATTTCTAATAATGCCATTTTTCCTTGTACCAAAAAAATATAATAATAATAACAATAATAATAGCTACAGGAAAATGGAATAACACAAACACTGAGAAAATTCTGTATGCAAGTGAAATAACCATCAATTCATGAATTCAAACATGGCATTGGTAGCAAAAGTTGATGGTTGCATTGATGTTAGAACTTTGAATTGTACATGAATTGCTCAATGACAGATTGATTAATTTGTGGTATACCAAAACACGGCAGGACATAATGGAGAAGCCATATTCATCTTTTCGAGGAAAGTGGATTCATTGATGCTTGTATTTCTTCTAGCGTGCGTCCCTTGGTCTCCGGTACCAGCTTTGCTACAAACAGAACAGTTAAGCCGCATATGCTAGCAAATATGAAGAATGTTCCTGGAAGGAGGAAGACAATGCAAAAAAGGTTAAAATGTGACAGGTTTTGTACCTAAGATGATATATCAAAGAGAGGAAGAATCAGATGCACAACATCTTACCTGTTGAGCTCCATTTCATGAGGAAGTTAAATGCAAAGGAAATAATCCAAGAACCAAACCAGCTAACCAATGTCACAAGGCTTCCAGCTGAACCTTTCATGTTTATGGGAAATATCTGAAATCGGAACCCTTTTCTAGTAAAGCAAAAAGTTCTTTTTTCCCTTTTTTTTTTTCATGTTTGAAAATCAATTCATATAGATATTGAAGGCTGCAGAGTTCAGACAAGTAGGGTCAGCCTACCTCAGACATTATAACCCAAGGTATTCCCCCCATGCCTAATGAAAATGATCCTGTGTACACCTACATATGTTTAGACAAACAAATCAGAAAGAGATTATTTCACTCATGAAAACAATAGAAAATATAGAGATTAAAGGAGTGGGACGGTTGGAAACTGAGGGGCTGAAGTTTGAGATCATTCCATATATGTCAAAATAAATCGATTCATTGGCTTTACCAGTACGCCAACAAGTGATAAAAAAGGAGTGGCTTCCTTCCATTGTTGAAGGTCCTGCATGTGATCGAGCTTAATATTTTCAGGACATAAATAGAACACAACAATCATTTTGATATTTGAGATCAGTAAATCTCATCTTTGAACCTGCAAGAAAAACGATAACCCAACAAGCAAGCAACCCAAACATGTTCCAGCTGCAGATACCTGTAGATATTAGTAGATTTTAGCAAGAGCATTTCTACATCTTAATATATAGATAAAAAACTAAGAAGATAAATTTCCAGGCCTCCCCACCAATAGAAGTGGTCTTCTCCCAGATTTATCCAGCAAGAGAACTCCCAATGCTGTCATTGGAACCTGTAGAAGATTTTTCAATCATCAAGAAAAAGCATTAATCAAAATGATTAATCAAACTCTGATTTTACTGCAAGTCAACAGACCTGAACAACAACCATTGCTATCATTCCAACACTACCAGAAAATCCTGTCATAAAGAATTGAAGATAAAGGATGTATCATATGTGGACTTCCTCTCTTTCTCTTCTTTGTTGTTTCACAACATAAAAGTAGCCTTAAAGTGATATTGCATACCAGCTGATATAAAAATAGCACTAGCATAAAATGCAATTCCATTGACTCCTCCGAATTGTTGCAGAACCATCAGGCCAACTCCAACCTTAAACAGTTTAGTTATACATTAAAAGAGCAACTCATAGCAAGGAACAATGACACAACCAGGATTGATTTTAACTATTACAATGAGGGACCGAGCATATTTCCTCTGGAACAAGTAAAAAATGCTAGCTTCAGAAAGCTGTTGAAGTTGTTCTGTGTAATCCTGCAAAAAGAAAATTTTTATAAAGTAAAAACTGCTTCTTTCTTGTTTCATGGAGTGGAGGTGCTAAAAATCCAAAGAACTAAACCTGAAACTCACATGCACCTAAAGTTAATAACTTACTCTAATCTCGCTTGCTTCCTCAGAGATATCAGCATTGTCCCCCCTTAGTCGCTGCAGGGCAGCTTCACACTCTTTCCATTTTCCTATCTTTGCCTGCAGAGAATTGTATCCACTATTTCAATGTGATAATAGAGGCTTGGATTTACTTTGAAGCATCATTTCAGAAGAAATGTAATCGTTTAATAGCATGCACAACATATGTATGAATTATGAGTTTTTAAATCATTTTCCTAAACAATTTAAATAACTGCTAGAATCTAGACTGCTGTATAAAAAATTACCAGCCATCTAGGTGACTCAGGGATGAAGAATAAACCCAGAAGCTGCATAAGACATGGAATAGTTCCTGAAATCATATTTTATGGAGACACTGTTAGAATATCATTTAAATGGCAATGTGACACCATAAAATATGACAGTTACCAATGAGGGCCAAAGTCCTCCAGGTGGCAAAAGCGCCTATGAGATATGTTATTGACACACCACAACAGATCATCAGCTGCCGAATCCATTGTCAGTGGGTATATAAGCACAGAACATATTGAATTCCACTTGTGATGCTTAGCATTTACCTGATGGACTGATGTAAATCCTCCTCGAATATTCTTGGGTGTAACTTCAGCAATATACACAGGAACCTATAGTGAATAAGAATACATATATTCCTTCAATTTTATGAACAGCTAGTCAGTAAAATTGCAATCTGTTCAAAACTTACCACGTATGAAAGGAGGCCCATCCCATATCCTACCAGCAGCCGGCCAAGGTCAAGGCACCAAGCAACCTTTTGACAAGCAGTTAACATATAGCAACATGAATTGAGGCAATATAAGGTATTAAAGTGCTGTTATGTTTTAGAGGAGTGGAACCAACAACTAAAAGGGTAAAATTTTATTCTCCTAGAATGATAATTATTAGGTTCTGTTTCTATCTAAAGATGTTTGCAAGCCAACATTTTTTCAATTGAAAAGGCGGAGTAGAACCAAAGTAAGCTTCAGAACACCTTTGAAAATAGTATCGCAAGCCATCCAACTATGCAGAACACCTCCGAGACAGCCATTGTCTGCCTCAAATGTTAACCAACATTAATAGGAAAGTCACAGACATGAAAACTGTACCGAAGTAGAATTATACATATAGCTATAGGTTCTTGAAAACCTTACATATTTTCTACCAATGTAATCCGCTATTCTCCCACTCATTACTGCACCTAACATTGCTCCAATTGTCAATATTGAACCAAAAAGAGAATACTGCAATGAACAAAGTAGGGAAAGAGAAAATTTCACACAGAAATGCCAGAGATAAACAAAAAAGAGAAACAATTATAGGAATCCTATTACGTTTGCGCTTTTTCATAACAGTACTAGGTCACTCAGTTTAAATGAAGTTGAAACTTAGATGTTATTCAGTTTCCTTTTAAAGAATGAACATCATGTTAGATTAAGAACAACCATGCTAGCTTATCAGCTGCTCATGGCATGTGTACATTTGACCAAATATGGTCCTGCTGCTCGGTAACAAAAGTTGGCATAAGGCACTAGAAACAAAATTTTAAGGTCATAAACACTGAACAAATTATACCTGGTTGCAAACAAAATTAAGTAGTGAAATATGGTGGAAATGGATTCACAAGAGCAACTGCCATAAAAGGCTATTTATGCTTTACCTCCGCTACAGAGAGACTCAGGTCATCCATGATTCCAGTCTGAGCAGGGGATGAATATCCAATCTGGAAAAAATCTTGCCATATTAGTTCATATTTATAAGACAAAGGACAGCATTTCCGCTCAATTAGAATATATTATTGTTTTCTTAAGTCTTGTTACTCTTCAAATGATTAACACAGAACACTCCAGGCACTGTTACTGTAGAATTAAGGTCCTACTTTGCCATTCACTAATCATTGTGGCACCGAAGAGACAAGATAACTTGTTATAACACCATTCAATCAAGCACCACTATGAAGTAGATCTGATCAGTGTTAGACAGAGTTGGCCCTTCACTTTTCATGTTAAAAAAAGAAAAGTAAAACTAATAATTTCATCGGAGGAAAGAATATACTTACAGCAGTCCCAAAAACATAAGATCCACAAACAGCAACAAAGGTGCTGAGAACAACCGTAGCTGTTGCAGAAGTAGTTCCAGTTCCAACCTGCCCTTCACCAGAACAACCACCAACATCATCCTGAGGCTTCTCTTTAACTATCAAAGAACAAGAAAGTTCTTCTTCCATTCTTTCTCTACTCATCTCTAAACAGAATCAAGCAAGAAAACTGTGTTGAAGATAGAATCTAAAACATAAAATAGTGGTAAGATTGGATTTGGAAGTGGAATTAACTTTATGAACAGAAGGACAAGACATGATTTTCAGTAATGGGTCTGAGGGCCCCCACTTGAAATGTGATATTTGTTGGATTGTTTGAATCTTTCACGCATTTAGACACATGTAGCTGTTGTCTTTATCTTATATAAACAACATCCTCCTAGATTCCTATCAGTTTCCTTCAGCACCCTTTCACCTTTCTTTTTATTATTTACTTTGTTTTCTTCAAGCTGGATCATACTCTATCTTTCCTTAATCTCTTCAAGACCAATAAACTAGAAATCTTTAAGTAAAAAATTTTCAATTTTTTAGATTGATGTTTGAATCTTAATATAGTGAATAAATCATAACATGAATCCAAAATAAAAAAGAATTAGAATGAGAACTGTCCATAAAGGGAAGAGAGACTAGGAATCCCACAAATGGAAACTATAAATGTGATAGAGAAAAATAAAGTGGCTGATGAAACTGAAAAATTGAATTCTACCAAAAGTAGATAAAAATCATCATTTTATTTTTTCAGTTCATTGTAACAGTACAAGTTATAAACTTCATGATTCGTGATGACAGATTTAATTCAAAGGTTTATGTACAGATGAAAAAGAATCCAAAGGGCAAAACCAATCCTTTTCAGAAACAGCAGAAGACTACCTCCATTTCATTAAATTTTTTTTTTTTTTTGATATGTTGGAGATCATATCTTTAAGAATAAAAAAACATTAAAGATGCTGAAACTTAAACTCTAAATATGCAGAATTCAATTTTTTATAAATAATTACGTGAACCAATCAAACTTAAGAAGCACATATCATTAAATTTTCCTTCTTAGCTGTAATGTTTCGATGCCATCCCCGTGACAAAATTCCTACTTTTATTGTCCATATTAACAGAAGTTATCTTTTATAACAAAATAAAATATTATAATGATTTTAAATAGATAATTATTCAAATAATCATAACTATTTGAATATATCTGATAAATTTTTTTTTAAATCTCTTACTTATTAATTTTTCAAATATTAGTAAATAAATATTATTTTACATCGAATAAATTTGTATGAACTGAAATAATTATTTTATGACTAAACAAAAGTTCAAAATAATTTAAAATAAATAATTGTTCTAATATTCTTAATCATTTGAACTGATTCGATAAATAAATTTACTTTTTAAATCGCTGATTAATTAATTTTCATAAAATAATTATGTCATGTCCTAAGATCAAGGCACAATATAACCATATTATCTTAAAGTAAAACTTCAAAGTAATACGAAGTATTTTTTTTTAACCATTTTAAAATCTTTTAATAAAATAATTTGTTAAGGAAAATCTACATATTTAATCCAAGTAATGATAAATCTTTATATATTCAAAAGTAAACTAATAAAAATACAAAATCATTTCGTAAGATCTCACTAACCAACAATGTTTCAAATGCCTAGATAATCTTTCTAATTTAATCCTCTAGCTTCTCTCAAGAATAAGCAAATTTATTATTTTAATCATCTATACAGGAAAAGTAAAAGAAGAATGAACAAGCCATAGCTCAATAAGTATAGGCTTATACACTTACCTAATCAAGCATCATTTTCATGCATATCATATAGAATATTCAAAATATTCGTTAAATCATAATGTCAAAGTATTTCAAAAATCATTATTCTGTCAAATATTTCGTAGATCATAAATCAATATCATAACATATCAATTCATCAATTATAAATCATAAATTATTATCAAATACATATTTCATCTAAATCATAAATCAATATTTAAAATCATCATAAATCGTCATAATATCATTATCATTTATTTATCATTAGTTACGATCATTATTATAATCTGTGATATTGATCATATCAACAATTTTATCTTCATGATCATTGCTAACTATTATAATCTGCTAGCCACGACCTTACGTTAACTATTATAATTCGTTAGTAGGTTGTATGATCATGTCTATATTAATTACTATTACCTGTTAATTAGGATCGCGTAACTAGTTCTTCTATCAATAATCTCATCTCTCATTGATATAAAAACGTAGTTATCATAAAATCGTTCTTTAAACATAAATTATTTTCTTATTTTATTCATAAGTATAATCCATCATTTACATCGCATAAACACAAAAATAATTATATGCTTGATCTTATTTGCATATATCGAAAATGAAGAAATAAAACATTTATTCATTTAGAAATATACATATATACATAGGTTCGAAAATAAGTAAAGTATGCGATATTCTACTTACCACATTTGTATTATACCACTTAAATAAAACAAATTTAAATAGTTATGAATATTTGAACAGTTGTCTATTTTAAATTATTATGACTTTTTGTTTTGTTATAAAATAATTCTTTTAGTTCATACAATTATTCAAAATAAGACAATACTAATTTATTAATATTTCAAAAAATTTTAAGTGAATTAAAATATAAATCTGTTTATTAAATCAATTCAAATAATTATGGTCATTTAAACAATTATTTATTTTAAATTGTTATTACATTTTGTTTGGTTATAAAATAATTGTTTTTTATTATATAAGCTTATACGAAATAAAATAATATTAATTTATTAATCTTTCAAAAATTATTAAATAAGACATTAAAAAAATATATTTGTTTACCAAATTAATTCAAATAGTTATGATCATTTGAACAATTATATATTTCAAATCATTATAACTTTTTGTTTTATCATAAAATAATTATTTATATTCATACAAGCTTATTTAGATAAAATAATACTAATCTAATAATATTTCAAAAATTAATAGCTAAGAAATTTAAAAAATAAATTTGTTTATCAAATTAGTTTAAAAAGTTAAAACTATATGAATAATTATTTCTTTTAAGTAGTTATGAGTTTTTGTTTTATCATAAAATAATTTTTTTAATTCATACTATCTTACTACGGATAAAATGTTATCTTAAAACATTAATATTATTTTATTTCAAATAAATTTATATGAATTGAAATAATTTTTTTATGATAAAACAAAAAATTATAACAATTTTAAATAAATAATTATTATAATAGTCATGACTATTTGATCTGATTTTGTAAACATATTTATTTTTTAAATTTTTTACTTATTCATTATCAAAATATTAATAAATTAATATTACATTAATCTGAATATGCTTATATGAGCAAAAACAATTGTTTTATGACAAAATAAAAAAAATAACAATTTAAAATAAATAATTGTTCAAATAGCCATAACAATTTGAATTGTTTTGGTAAATAGATTTATTTTTTTAAATGTCTTATTTAATTTCAAAATATAAATAGATTAGTATTATTTTATTTCAAACAAACTTATATGAACAAAAATATTTGCTTTATGACAAAAAAAAATTATAACGATTTGTAATAGATAATTATATAAATAATCATAATTATTTGAACTGGTTCAATAAATAAAATTATTTTTTAAATCTCTTCTTTTTAATTTTTGAAATATTAATTATTTTATTTTATTTTATTTTATTTAAAATAAACTAATATGAATTAAAAAATATATTTTATGATAAAACAAAAAGTCATAACGATTTGAAAAAAATAATTGCTCAGATAGTCATAGCTATTTGAATTAATTTAATAAACAGATTTATTTTTTAAATCTCTTATTTAATTTTTGAAATATAAATATATTAATATTATTTTATTTCGAATAAATTTATATGAATAAAAATATTTGTTTTATGATAAAAAAGATCATAATGATTTACAATAGATAATTATATAAATAATCATAATTATTTAAATTGATTCAGTAAATAGAATTATTTTTTTAAAACTCACGTATTAATTTTTGATGTAACTGCACAATTAGAGAGGAGTGGAGAATGTGGTCTTATAGGAGCATCAAAGCCAATTGTTTGGTCCTGCCATATCAGTTTTAAACTTTTGGGTTCAATGGTTCTTCATTTATAGCATTGAAACATATATCGACCTTGCAGTTTGGTACATGGGAACTACCTTTGTTCTAATTGAAGTCAAGCACATACTTGAGTGGTGCTAAAATTTTGATAGATATAGGTGGGTCTTAGCCTACTATTTACAATTACTCAAGTGGGCTAACTGCAAAAGAAAATGCCGAGACAATTGGCATTGCAACTTGTACTTGGGTTTTAACTGAGCTCAAATGAACAAAAATTCACCATACAACAAATATGATTCAATATCATGATAAAATATTTTGGATGTCTCGATACTATACATAATATGTAGGGTTCTGTACGACCAATACAAGGAACAGGGTTCACCGGCATTGTCACATCCTGGAAATGATCACTTCTAACATAAGAACGCAAGAAATTCATATGTATATTGTTTTTAGAGATGGTGAATTCATTCCAACAGAAAAGGAGTAAGTGATGCTTGTATTTCCTCCAGTGTTCTCCCTTTTGTCTCTGGGACCAACTTGGCGACGAATAGAACAGTTAAGCCCGCAACTCCGGAGAAAATGAAAAATGTTCCTGCAATGATGTTTGCCATTAGATTTTAGTTCAGAAGTGTAATGGTTATGCCAGTTTGGTTACACTGTTAGAGAGGGAGAGGAAGAAGACCTGCTGAGCTCCATTCCATCATAAAATTGAAACTGTAAGTAGTGAGCCAAGAAGTGGACCAATTGACTAAAGTCACCAGGCTTCCAGCTTGGGCTTTAACATTTATAGGAAATATCTGACAAAGAAAAAGAACATGTTTTAGTCAAATGGATCTCGTCTCCAGCTATTGGAGCAACATTGATATATATGTTAAATTCATCCATGTAAAACTGTTAGCAAAGAAGCAGCATTCGATCTCAAAATTGGTACATACCTCAGACATTATAATCCATGGTATTCCTCCCAAGCCTATTGTGTAAGCCGTAGCAGAAATCTGAGTTTGCAATAGGGATCAGTTTATAGATAGAGTTGGCTCGAAGTTAGAATAATATATATTTAGTTGTGTATATGCATGCAGGTTCTACTTCTGAACTCATTCTTCTAATGGAGGATTTCAATTCTAGGATTAAAAAATGCATGTTTTGTGTACTTGAGTAGCCTGATCCTAGTCATGATTATGGCCATTGGCAAAATAGGAGGGGCGTTCATCATGAAGTACAAAGTAGCCTCTAAGAAACTGAAGTACATACTAAAGAGCCGGTAAGTACTAGAATGGGAGTAAGCGCCTTCAGATGGGGAAATTCCTGATTATGAAACAACATCAAAGCTTTCAGAAAGAGAATTGGAAAACGTTAACAAGAAAATGAAAGTAAGTAGCTTGGGGAAAATATCTCAACTTTGTTATACCTTAAAGCAGAACGACAGTCCTACAATTAAGCCGGAGAAGCACATTCCACTTGCAGAGACCTGCATAAATTGGAATACCACTTTTTTCACTTGTTGTTCAACAATTTCATTATCTTAAAATGAATCCCTTACAACACTAACCAGTAAGAGTGGTCGTCTACCACATCTATCCATTAAAAACAAAGCTACAACAGCCACTGGAATCTACAAAAAACAATATTATTGACATGTCTCAGAAATGCATGAAGCAAAATTTGAAATTTAGCAAAAGTTAGAAGAAGGTACCTGTACAATAGATAAAACTTGAAGGCCAAGGGTACTTGAAATACCTGTTGCGAAAAAGAATTTGTATTTTTATTTTTTCTAATACCATGTTACAGTTTTATTGTTTACAACAAAAAAAGAATTGCTACTGAAATAATTATAAAGAAACCAACACAGAAGACCTAAATGTACCAGCTTTTTCAAGTATGCTACTAGCATAATATGCCATAGGACTGTTTCCTCCGAGTTGTTGCAATAGCATTAGGCCAACTCCAACCTGAAAATTCCAAGAAACCATATATACAATGATCAGACAAGTCACAACAGGTGATTATGGCTTATTAATCAAATGTTATTCTCAGCTCACAATGAGTGAATTAGCATATCTTCTCTGGAACAATTCCAGGAAACTAGCTTCTCTCTGTTGCTCAACAATTTCCATATAATCCTACACGAGAATGGAAGCACATGACATTTCTTGCTATCATGAGAAAACTAAGTGGCTTCATTTTCCTGGGAAAATATAAAAGAGAAAAAAATTAGCAAGATATGAAGCTAAAAGGCTACTCTGATATCAGCTGCTTCTTCAGAAATATCAGCATCCTCTCCCCTAAGACTCTCCAAAGCAGCTTCAAACTCTTTCTGTCGACCACATTTTGCCTGCAGAAGCGGTAATCTTTTATGCCTTTGCTTTCCTCAACTCAAAACTAGAGAATGAAGTGGAAAATTTCTTACCGATCTAGCTCTAACATGTTATGCATTGGGCAGATTACAGAGTCGGACTTACCAGCCATCTAGGGGACTCTGGAATGAAGAACAAGCCTATTATCTGTACTACACAGGGAATAGCACCTGAAGGAAACAGAACTTCATTAACACTACATTAGGCTTAAGTTAATTGAAAAATAGAAGAGCAGAAGGATATATACTGATCGTTGCCAGGGCACGCCAAGAAATGAAGGTTCCAACGAAATATACAAATGCAAAACCAGAAGTAGTCATCAACTGCATTATTTTGGAAAGCACATATTGTAATTAGTGATATCTTGGCACATCATATTGTCGATTATGGTTTAGTATTACCTGATTTGCTGATATAAATGAACCGCGGTGACTTTTTGGTGTTATTTCTGCTATGTAAACAGGTACCTGTTTGTTGAGGACAGTTAGGCGTCATTATACATCTCGTTCTTTAAGTTACTTAAAAACTGGTTAGGTTAATGAAATATGAATTGCAAACCTCTGTACAATTACCACATAACAGATCATCGCAACTCCATATCCGATTGACAGCCTTCCAATGTCCAGCCACAAAGCATTCTTCCAACAAGAATTAAACATTTACTTTTTAAGATCTTACAAATTGGTCTATATGGAGTTAACAATAATTAGTAAACATAAAACTATACACACAAGAAGTTTCATTAGCAACCGACTCAAAAGTCAAAACAAGCATAACTTTGGGGAAGGAAATAATTCAAAGTGGAAGTTAACCTTTGCAAATGCTATTGATAGCCACCCAGCAGTGCAGAATACTTCAGAGAACCACATTGCCTGTCTCACAGTATATCAACACGTTAATTGAGAGGAATAAACCATTATGAATACACTTCAAGTTGAAATCTTATAGTATTATATCTATAAAAGATGTAAAGGTAGCTTAAACAAAAAAAAACTTACACGTCTCAGACCAATAAGATCTGCTATTCTCCCACTTAAAATTGCGCCTACCATTCCTCCAACAGTCATTATTGAACCGAAAACGGAATACTGCAGATTGTGAAGTAAATCAGTAGAAAGAAAGGTGACATAAAAGTGAAATTCATGCATTGTGTAGTATTTTCCAAACCTATTTGACAGTTCAATGAATAGTTTTTACATCAGGAAATTGTTTTGCAAGACATTGATTGGTGACAAAGATTACAAACTGAACTTGAGCTTTCATATGCTTTAATTAAGTGGAATCTTATGGGTCACACATGAGTTTGCTCTTTCTAAAGAAAATAAAACCTGACTGGAAAAAAGAACAAAAAATTGTTGTGTACTAACTGCTGCAGTAGAGAGCCCCAAGTCTTCCATGATCCCAGTCTCCACAGGTGCTGAATAACCAATCTGGATTCAAGCAAGTTAGATCATTTTTATTAATTCAATCAAAATTACCAAACACGATATTCTATGTTACTTCGACTTTTCATTTTTTCTTAAAAGTACAAAAAAAACATATATCAGATACTAGAAATTGATATATTGTTGAAAAAAAAAGATGAAATTATTCATGGGATTTGTCTGGTTATAAAGTTTCATATATTTTAATTTTTGTACAACTTGCATTCCAATTAATTCATGAACTTAACCCATAAGTAACTGAAAAATTTACAATTCCATTAATGGTTACATCTAATTAGTCTTAAATCAAAGTCTCCAGGATCAATCAATAGGTCAAAGAGGTGCCCAAAATGCAATAATTATTAGGGTTGAAATTATTCTGGACTGAATTATATATTTTTATTATTTTTATATATATTTAAATTTCTTATAAAATAAAAATAACTATTTTATTTCTAAATATATTTTTATATATTAAAATAATATATATAAAATAATAAATTTAAATTTAAAAAATCAAATAAATAAAATTCGAATAGTATAAAAGTTTAATTTGAATTCAGATCATTTTAAAAATTTATAATTTATATATTATCTAAAATAAATAAATCAAATTTAATTCGATCTGAATTATTAATTAAATGTGTAATTTTCTTATAAATGGGTTAAAAATAAATCAAAAACATTTTAAAATGCAATATCTTTAAAAAATCTATATGCATGAAAAATATACAGACTATTATTTTGTGGTGGTATTTTTGAAAAAAAAAAATGAAACGACTTTTTTTTTTATTAGATTAAAAAACATATGTTTCTTATATATAAGCTATTTGGAAAAGAAAAGAGAGATCAACAGTCATGTCATCGTATCTGTTTTTAGAAGAAAGTCAAGAATTAAACTTTATCTGATTCAAAACCCAAAATTTATTTAAAAAGAAAAGAAAGTGAAAAACTTACAGAGCAGCCATAACAGAAAGAGCCACAGACAGCAACAAAAGTACTGAAGACAAGAACAGCGGTTAAGGATGAAGCTGTTGCTGGTTTTGGCAATAATGGCATGTTAACGTTGTTAATACTGCTGTCACCACCACCACCGACGTCATTGCTCCTTGGTTTTGTTTCATTCGGTAAATCCCCTGTTAACAGCTCTTCTTCCATGCTTCCTCAGTTTCAAAGTCCCAAAATTAAACAAGAAATAATTTTGTCTTCTGCTTTCCATTGAAGAAAAAACTATTTATAACGAAAACGACTCATCGACAGTATCTGATAATTTATTTTATGTGTGATTTGATTTGTTTACAGTAAAATTTTATCATTAAATTATTTTTTAAAACTATTTCACTCGTGATTTTAAAAGTATTTTTTATATTTTAATTAATAATTTATTTTAAATAAATTTAAAATTAAAAAATGTGACCTTTAAAAGTCAAACTACATCATTATTTATGAAAAACAGTATTTTCTTTTAATTTAGTACTATTTTTTATGTATAATTTTTTATGTCATGATTATATTGATTAAAATTTTTTATGTAATGGTATTTAGATAAATAAAAAATATGCATTTATCCCAAGAAATTGCTACAATTATAATTTTTTTCTTTATTTAATTCTTTTTTTTTGTAAAATTTTGAATGCCATATGTACTTCAGCGTTTTTTTCTTTACATATTTTTTTTCAAAATTTTTTGTAATTAAAATTATTTAATTATTTTTTTCACACAAATTTTTAAAAAATTATAAATTTTTTTTAAAAATAGATTGTCAAAAAATCATATAATTTTTTAGAAATAAATTTTCAAAATATTATAAATCTTTTGAAAATAAATTTTCAGAAAAATTATAAATTTTTTTAAAAATTCATTTTCACAAAGTTTTTTTCGAAAATTTATTCTTTAAAAAAATTTATACTTTTTCAAAAATCTATTTTAAAAAAATATATGACTTTTAAAAATTTTATTTTTTTAAAATTATAAAATTTTAAAATGTTGTAAAAATAATAATTAACTAATTTATTTGTAAAAAAAAATTGTTAAAATATTAAGATGGGAAATTAAAAAAAAAAAAGGAATTGCATTTAGCACCACTAATAAAATTTTTACGTATGTCGTGCGATGCGACCAACCCCATTGAATTTTTAGGGTTGCTTCATTTTTAAACAAATTATTCCTAAAATTCTTTTTCTATTTGATTTGATTGTCTGTTTTATTTTTTTCATCTTTAAAATTTATCAACTTTGGCCATTTATGTATTAAATAATTTATAAAATTATATTAGAAAAATTTTTTAATCAAATTTTTTAGAAGTTTTTTTCATATTTTAATTAATAATATATTTAAAATAAAAATTAAACTTAAATTTTGACTCTTAAATTCAAAATTAGGACATTATTTGTGAAAAAATAAACCAAATCTTAACTTTTTGAAAAAAAAAAAGTCTTGTTGATTGAATTTCTTTTTGATTAAAAAATAATTTTAAATCGTCTTTGCACATATGATAGGAAGAATGAGAAAAACAATGTGAGTTTTAATTCCATGGGTTGTGAACTAGTAAAAAATAATTTGTGATATTGAATTGAAGTTTTTCATACAAGATTAGATAAATCTGTAAAAGACCTCAAATTTTAGTTCTATTAAAAATTCATCGTTCTAAATAAATGGATGATTTATTTTATTTAAATTTCAAATTCAAAAAAAAAAAATTTAAACAATAAGAAATTCAATCGGTCCAATATTTAATCAAATTCACTATATACTATCAAACAAATAATTAGTTCATAGTGAAAAATGTTCTTCCTTGTGCAATTACTATTGTTCATTAGAAAACTGAACCAAACTATTCCTTGATTTCCCAACTGAGCTTTCCAATCCTGGCTGGAGGTGGTTTAACTGGTTGATTTTTAAAGTTCATAATGATTACCAAATGCCACTTGCATTCTTTTCCACCAAAATTCTAACATAAAAAACTTATTAGGCATTAATTTGTGACAAGTGAGACTTCAACTGTACTTCCTTTTCCCTTAACAGACACCAAAAAAAAAAAAGTGTGGAATTTGTGAGTGGTTGACCTTAATTTTTACTTCCCGAGTCCCAACCTGAAGATTCAATGGAACCTGATATTTTTGTCCAGGCCTCTCCTGCTGTCCATTAAAAAAAAAAAAAAACCAGTCTAAGTTTAGATTTTATATTCATGGGGAAAAAAAATCGAGTAACCTATTAGAGCCAAGACGCGCCAATTGATGAAAGGACCAATTACATATATCATGGAAACGCCTACGACACCAATCATCTGCAGAATCAGCAGTGGCAAGAACATGATTCGGAAAGTAATTGTGCCTTGAATTTAATTAAGTGCAGGATTCACCTGTACTAGAGCTGTAAATCTTCCCCTAAGATTCTTGGGTGTTATCTCCGCAACATACACAGCTACCTGTTTGGGATTGAAATATGAATACCATTATCCATCATGATATAATTAAAAATATCAAAATGGAAATGATATTTTTGCAACAGTTACCAAATAACCAGCAATTCCATTCCTGAATCCTAGCAATAATCTTCCTACATCAAGCACCCATGGAACCTTTCCAACACATGAAAATTCAACATTAAGCAAGGAAAATCAATTGAGTCGATTACAGAAAACTGCAGTTCAGTTATGATCTGCAAGATGTAATCTTCTTGCAAAGGAAAGGAGCACATGACATAAAGGAAAAGTTGGCAGAGAATGAAAGACAGAAGAGACCTTTGCAAATGCTATTGCAAGCCATCCCACAATGTAGAATAAGTTCAAAACCCACATAGTCTGATTCAAGACATTGGGGAATTAGACATGATTTTCCAACCAAAATTCAATAAATGGCTTAGAGATGTTTGTTCAGTTCAGTAGTCATGTAGAAGCTCACACATTTACGACCAAGGAGATCTGTTGTCTTCCCACTTGCTAATGCACCTACAATCGATCCAGCATTTAACATTGAACCAAAAAGTGAATACTGAACAGAAAAGAGAGTTGTTAGAAATTCAAAGTAGGTTTTCTCTTTAAACGCACAATCCCACATAAGTAAGATATATGAACTATCCAGAACCAATGTAATTAGCATAGGGTGTTACCTCTGCAAGAGAAAGACCCAGGTCCTCCATGATCACAGACTGAGTGGTAGGTGGATATCCCATCTGTGAAATAGTCATGAAAAGAGCAAGGAAAAAAATGATTCAAGCAATCATTTCCATTTACAGTAGATAATCAAACTATTTTAACAAAAAGAAGAAAACCCATAACTACATACTAACTAAAAATGGGTCAAATTCAGTAGAATAGATTGTAAACCACATGGAAAATGCTCATTGAGATTCAAGAAGTAATTTTTGCTTGCCATATATAGAATGTAATGATTGATCTACTTACAACACATTCAAAACCAAAGGAAATGGAAGCTGCCACAAAGGTGCCAAGAACAAGAGTAGTAGTGACACTTGAACTAGTCTGCAGCTCACCACCACCATCACCATGTTCTTCCCTAACAAGTAAAGACTCTGTCACTGTTGCTCTTTCTTCCGCCATCTATTCTGGTCTTGGAAGGAAAAAAAAAACAACTAGGAATATGATCAGAATGTGAAAGGAAAATAACAATGCTCAGGATCTTACATTAAATTGGGGTTTCCTTTATCTTTTGGTTAAGCACCCCCATGACATTTAAAAGTAAAAGGCTCATTTTTGGGTCTATGAAACTATTATAAGTTATAACCAGTCCATTTCTAAGGAAATAGAGGAAATAATCGTGCACTGCAGAGAAAATAACTCTGGAAAGTATCCCAAATTATTGGGGAAATTTTAGATAATTTTAGAACATTCACCTTTGAAAATGTGCAGATGACTTCAAAATGTACAGCTCCTGTTGATCAACAAAAGATTAAGAAAACCAAAGGACCAAAGAAGATAATGATTGTGTTGTGGTGCTTTCGGACAAGGGAGAAAAATCAAACGAAAATTGATTTAAAATTATATTATTTCGTTTGATTCGATTGATATTTTTTTATTCGATTTAGATTAAATTTAAATATTAAATATATATATTAGATTATAATTTATGTAATGCATAAAATAATTTTATTTATTTATTATAAGTGTATATATACAAATTAATTTTTTTAAAACTTATATTTAAATTTTTAAAATTCATAACATATATAAAATTTATATATATTGATTTATCATTAAAAAATAATTTTTTTAAAATAATAAAAATTTTATGTTTTTTTGGATTTTTTTTATAATAATATTTATACACTTATAAAATTATATCAAATAAAAATAAATTATGTTTTTTTAAATAAAAATATATATTATTGAATGATAAAGTAAATAATAAAAGAAGTATTAAAATACTTTCACTTTAGAAATTTTGACTAAATTGTTATACAAAATATGAAAAATATTAAAAAATATGTGAAAAAAGAAAAAAATAAATTAAAAAAATTATTTTTCATAAGAATGAAATTATAATAATAATAAAATATATCTTAAAAAAATTTATAAACAAAAAAAAATTGTAATAGTAATAGAATATACCTTAAAAAAAGTTATTGAAAAAATAAAAAATTGATGTATAACACATTATATTTGTAATTTTAAATAAAAGAAATATTAACATACTTTCATTTTAATAATTTTGACTAAATTATTTTTCATAAGAATGAAACTGTAATAACAATAAAATATATTTTAGAAAAAATTTATAAACAATAGTAATAGAATATACTTTTAAAAAGTTACTGAAAAAAAAGTTTATGTATAACACATTATATTTGTAGTCTTAAATTTGTAGAAGAATTCTTTAATAATAATTAAGATTAAATAGATAATTTTTAAAATTTAAAATGGATATAATAAGTAATAAAGATAATATTAAATTTTTTGCATTTATTTGAAATATGTATTTGATAATTAGAGTTTAAATATATATAATCATTTTTAAAATCTTATTATTTAAAGATTTAAGATGAAAATTTTTAAAATTTTATATAAAATTGCTTGAATTTTTAATGTCTTACGTAAATTTTTTTAAAAAATAATTTTTAAAATCAAATTTTTTGAATCAAGATAAAAAAAATATTTTTGAAAATTTTAGATAAATTTAATTTTTGTAATTTTTAAATATGTTTAAAAATTTTTTATAATTAAATAATTTTTTAAATAAAGTTATTTGGTAAACAACTAAAATTGTTTATTAAAAAAATAAAATCCATATTTTATATTTTTAATTTTAGAATATATATCTTTAAATTAGTTTGATTTTTAATTATAGTTTAATAATTTTGATATTTGAATAAATTTAAAATTATCTAATTTGTAATTAAAAAATTATCTTTTTTTTTTAAACTATCATATATGTTATTTAAGAAAGTTGTTCAAATAGATATGTGACAAACTTGTTTATGTATGATGTTATATAATATATATATATATATATATTATTAGATTAGTTTTGAATCAAATTTAAAATTAAAAATTAAAAAATTTGAATTAAATTATATATTTTTATAATTTTTATATATTTTTAAAATTTTTATAAAATAAAATTAATAATTTATATTAAAATTTATTTTAAAATATTAAAATTTTATATTAAAATAATATGTAAAAATAAATAAAACTTTAAAATGAATCAAATAAAAAATAGATTCGAACACAAATTAAATTTTATAATATTATGTAATATTTAAAAAAAATTAAATCAATTCGATTCAAAGGCATACGAGCATTTGTCATCTTGTTTATTAGTAACTGATGAAGAGGCGGGGGAGCAGGGGCTGAACCTAAGTCATGCTGTGATTGGAATTTTGCCAAGACAACAGATATTATGATTAATTATTTGCTTGACTCCCACTAGAAAAAATGTGGGGTCAAGGTCAATCAATTCTGATGGAAAAGTTTTTGACCACTAGCGGCTTTTCTGGTTATTATTTGTAATGTTTACTCATAAATTACACAAGTCCAGCGCCATAAAAAGCTACTCAAATTATACGAGAAGCACACAAGAGTAGGGTGCCTCAGTTTTCCTGACACATTAATAATCAGAATACTATGCAATGGCTTCCTAGAATTTCACTCATTCCATAGAATGACTGAACATTGATGCCTGTATTTCTTCCAGAGTTCGCCCTTTAGTCTCTGGCACCATTGCTGCTCCAAGCAAGAAACTCGCACCACAAAAGGCTGAAAATATAAAGAATATCCCTGGAACAGTGCCATAAACAGTTGGTATTTCTGAGATATATAAAAAGCATGAGAACAGCGGATGGTTTAGTAAAAGATGTCATGATCACCTGCCGAGCTCCATTGAATTAGGAAGTTGAAGAAGTATGCAACAATCCAATTAAAAACATTGCTGACAAAGTTGCAGATGCTTCCAGCTGAACCCTTTACATTTACAGGAAATACCTGAGACAAAACCCAATGTTGTTCAGTAAGCACTGTAAAATCTTATTCAGGATATGAAGGTGAAAGGGAAGAAAACAATAAACTAAACTGTTTCCATACCTCTGATACTAAAAGCCATGTCATTCCTGCTACTAATGTGTATGATGCCATGTATAACTGAAAGCATAATCAAATATTTATAACCAAAAAGGAAACAAAAGTCCAAAGGTTTGTTTGTGAATTAATGCAGTATTACTATTACCAATAAGCCGATGAGTGCAAAATAGGGAGCACCTTGATCCCAGCAATTAAAGTCCTGTTCAGTGCAACTGAGATTTCAGGATATAGTTGACTTCACAAACAACATCAAAGGGGCCAATATATGTAAGTTTTTCTGAACCTGTAAGAGGAATGACAATCCCGTGAGGAAGCTACCCAAGCATAATCCAGCTGAACATACCTGCAAACAAGTTTCAATATTGGTTCATTAATGTTCAAGCATGCAATACATTTCCAACCAATTTAAAAACAAAAATTTCAGTTTTCTAACCAGTAGAACTGGTCGTCTTCCAACTTTATCAACTAAGGAGATACCTAAAGCACCTAATAGTGTCTGCAAAAAGAAAATGACACAAAAAGACAAATAGTTTCAGAGATTGCCACCAAGCAAAATCTGGCTTCAAACTACACAAAGAAGTGAAAAAAAAAAAAAAAAAAAAGAACCTGAACAATTGCCAATGTAACGAGTCCAACCATGCTTGATATACCTGTCATGAATAAGAACTTCATCTATATAGTTATAATTTCTGTAAGGGTTTTCCTAAAGTTGTTAAAAGAGTATTATGTCCTGCAATTTACCAGCTGAGAGAAATATAGCACCAGAATAATATGCAATGGCAGCAATCCCCCCCAAACTTTGCAATATCAACAGTCCAGCAAAAATCTGTATGAAATGCCAGAGATCCATTTAATCATAAATACAGAAATTGATAAACTAGCAACCAAGTGACAAGGCTTACAAGTAAGGGACGAATATACTTCTTCTGAAATACATCTAAAATACTACCCTCTGATGCACTTTGAAGGGATTCTGTATAATCCTGATAAATAGCAAAGAACATATTAAAAAAATAAAGCTTAGAAAGTAAAAAAAAATTAGGAAAATTTATACTAGTTTTCAGAATTCAAGATTAGCCATGACATCAAAGTTAAAAAAAAAACAAAAAAGATAAGGGTTACTTTGATTTCTGTTGCTTCCTCTGAAATGTCAACTTTGTCTCCCCGGAGGGACTGCAAAGCAACTTCAAGGTCCTTTTGTCGACCAACTTTTGCCTGTGGAGAACTATTTTCAATAACTACAGTGAATTTTTCAAGTAGGCAAGTTTTAACAGAATGTAAGTTGTTGGACTCACCAACCATCGAGGAGATTCTGGAATGAAGAAGAGGAGTGGAAGCTGAAGTAGACCAGGAATAGTAGCTGTGTAAGTAAAATAATTCCAACCTGTTAAATCTTTCAGATTGCATAACCAGGAAAACATGACAGGATATTTTTAGTTACCTATTAAAGCCAATGTGCGCCAATTGACAAAGGAGCCGACAACATACATGAATGACAAGCCCCAACAAACCATCAACTGCAGAATAAGTAGGGTAAGAAGTATGATGGATTACAAGTGCGTTTATAGTCTGAGTTTGATGAATAGAAGCGTTTACCGTTCCCAGGGCGGAAATTGTTCCCCTGAGATTCTTGGGAGCTACTTCTGCTACATATACGGGCATCTGTTTCATATTTAATGGTAAATAGTGTTAGCCTTATCCATCAGAAATTGAACACCACATTGCATGACTGTATCAAATTTCAGATACAAACTTGAGAAAAGTTACCAGAAAACCAGCAATTCCATTTCTAAATCCCAATACAAATCTTCCAAGGTCAAGCAGCCAAGAAACCTTTACAAAAGCACAAGCCAGTTTAGTGTTATGAACTGAAAGCAAAGCAATGAAATATCAACAAACACTGATTAGACTATGAGTAACATGCATCTAATTGATCTAATATTCCAAATGAATATATAACTTGAAAATCTTCAGTAATCACATTATGATGGCTTATTACTATTTACTAGCATCCTAGTTAGCTTTTCAAGTCATCTTGTAAGGAATGTGACATGGCAGCTCTACAAAAATTAATTTGGATAAAATAAGCACATGGAATTCATTTCTTTACGAAGATCTAATTGGATGTCATTTGTAACCAAGTTGTTAATGGTAGAGAATCTGGTTCTCTTAACATTTTAGAGAAAACAATAAATGGTTGGGTCTGTTTCAGTGAGTAAATCAAGCAAATGTCATGCAAGAAATGATTGTGGAAAATGAAAGGCAGAAGAGTTTAAACCTTTGTGAAAGCTATGGCAAGCCAGCCACCAATGTAGAATAAATTCAAAATCCACATAGTCTGATTCAAGACACGCAGTTAGTAACTTTTCTATTCAATTAACATTCAACAGTAAGCTTAAAGACTTTTGCTCAGTCATGAAAAAGCTTACGCCTTTCCGACCAAGGAAATCTATTATCTTCCCACTTATTACTGCACCTAGCATTGCTCCAATTGTCAGTAATGAACCAAAAAGTGAAAACTGCAAAAACAAAGAGTATTATTTGTAAATTTAAAACACATAAAGGGTGGTCAAATGCAATTAAAATTATACACTTAACAGTTAAATGTTGTTATTGCTTACCTCTGCCACAGAAAGACCTAAGTCTTCCGTGATTTCAGACTGAGTAGGTGATGAATAGCCCACCTGCAAAACAATCACAGAAAAGTAAGTTGATTCCATGAAGTGTTAGAGACAATTTTTTTCATTTGTCTAAGAAATGGACTTTACAGCATTTCCAAAACCAAAGGCAATACAGGCATTCACAAAGGCACTCAGAACCAGAATAGTGGTAACACTGGAAGCAGCCAAATTAGGCACACCTCCATCACCACCACTTCCACTTCTACCATTATCTTCATTGATGTTGTCATCAAGGCTTTGTCTAACAAGTAAAGATTCAGTTAATGCTGTCCTTTGCTGATTCGCCATAGATAGTTAGCTTGGAAGATATGTGAACATTAACGAAAGAAGAGCATAATAGGATTTTGAACTTTCACATGAAGGTAGTTGGCCCTCCTCACTTACAGCAACACGAAGTTCCATTGAAATTTTGTACTTATAACCACATATTAAGAAAAAATTAACAAGAATTAAATGGTAAATACATGTAAATTCACAAGGAATTAATAGCAGACTAGTAGTTGGCTACTGTCCATGGATATACCTACCATTCTCTGAGACAAACAGTTTTCTCGGTTATTGAATTAGCTACAATCCGTTGTATCGTATGCTTCTCTTTTAATCATGGTCTCATCAAACCAAAAAATATGGATGTCATGGACATAATTTAAATATCCAACGTATCTAATGTAGGGTCCAAATTCATCTGTTCCCCAAAATCTTTGCTTTAAAAAGCTGGTTGCTGATAAAAGTGGCTTTACTTTAAGAATGTAATATTGTTGGGTTAAAATACTCCAATCCAATCACACAAATGAAAGTGAAATCAAACAATAAATCAAGCACACAAAAAATAATAAATTAACGTGGTTCGGTCCAATCGACCTACATCCATGGATGAGAAACAAGATCCACTAGTTGTAGAGAATTACAAATTTACATCAAATATCAACCTCACTCAACAATCAATACTCATTAGATACTCTCAATCTCCTCTAGTTGTATGAGTATTCTGAACCCAAACAAACACAAACTCAAATCTTTGTGCACCCTTTCAATATAATCAAACACATACCCGTATACACTCCCATACATCAATTCACAAATAAACATACACACCCATAAGACGTAGAGCCTCAATATTCCTATGGGTTGTCTATCCCACAAAACCCTACAACTCTCTTACATCTTTTTTTCATACCTAACTTTGTAGAGACTTCACCTATTTATAACAATACAAATTTGTCCATTAAGAATTCATTTCCTCTTAGAATTCTTCTCTTGTAAGTTAAAATTGCCTATTAAAAATTCATTTCCTCTTTGAATTCTTCTCTTGCAAGTCAAACTTACCTATTAAAAATCTTCTTTCTCTTAAAATTCTTCTTTTGTAAATCTTTTTGTCAATCAAATAATATATAATAAATTTCAAACAAATCTCTTATAAAATTTAAGTCAATATTCCCAACAAATATGACTAAAGTACATTAATTTTGTTTTCTTTTTTTTTAACCATTTCACATTTTTCAATCCATGAATTTAATGTTTTACTAACATTTTATGAGATAGATGGAATTAAAAGAAATGAATAAATGATTCTGGTAAACAGTAACTCTTTGACTCGAGAATTAAAGTTTAAGGTCCGAATCTCATTCCCTTTGTTTGTGACAAAATATGTGTGTATGTATGTGTTAATGAAGCATGTAATTTTTATCCATATGCACCTTTTCTTTCTTCATTTTGATCATAGTATAAGAAATATTGGACGTCTGAAAACATGATTATTGCTTCTTTTTCTTTGCCCCTCATCAAACCACATGAATATGCCCTTTTACTGGCTATAAAAACATGATTAATACTGAGTTGTGGTCTAGTATGGCTGAAATATTGAAATGGGAAATCTTTGAAAAGTGGGTTTCACCTAAAAGTAAGACCTAACGGTTCTGCTTCTACCTCAGTTGACTGAGCAGTGGGAACTCAGAGAAATGGGAAGCTGAAACAGTGAAATGATACACATGCTTTCACCTTACTTTCTTTTCTACTAGCCACGTTGATGTCAGAAAATGTATATATGTAATACCCGTAAAAAAAAAATTATTTTAAGTATTTTTATAAATAAAGCGACTCTTTAATAAAAAATAAAAAATATATAGAACCTACTGATAAATAACTTAATTTTTAATAGGATTAGTATTTATCACTTGTTCGATCAACAATTGATCGAGAAAAAAAATGGGCTTCTTATTCCTCTCTTTCTTATACAGAAAAGACAAATTTAAAAATTTCAAGTGAAGGGTAAAAACAATATTTATATTTTGAGTTATCTTTTAAAGGTGAGTAAATAATTTTTTTTAATTTTGAAAAAATAATATTGATTGTTAAATCTTGATATTTAACTTGTAATTGAAAAACTTTAAAATTTTAAAAAATCTATTATCTCTCTTCAATACTAGTTTGAATAAATCATTTATATTTTAATTAGAGTCTATAAAGTGTTGAGAAAGTTTAGTAATATAATTTTATTGTAGTAAAATTAGGAAACAAAAATTTGATGGGATTAGAAAAAAAAAAATTGTTTCGTATAAACTCTAGTATTTGTAATAGTAGATTAAGATAATATTTTGTATTAAAAGATAATATATTGCTATGATTATTATATACCGTTAGAAAGCTTGCTGAATCTATTTTTTAATGAAACAAATGAAAGTCGAATCCAAATTTTTTATGAAAAATTATCTAATTTTTACTTAATGATATGCAAGCTGTATAATAATATTATTATGGTTGAATTACGAAAAATTATCTTAAATTTTATACAAGAAATTAAAAATTGAGCCACATATGTTTGAAAAGTTTATTAAATCTATTTTTTAATGAAACAAGCAAAATTGAATTTAAGTCTCTTATGAAAAATAATATTTTTTATTAGAAGATATACGTGTTATTTGGCAGCAATATATGATGTGAATTGCAAAATTTATTATAATTAATCTACAAGAAATTACAAAATGGCTCATATATGGTTAGAAAGTTTATCGAGTTTAGTTTTTAACACATTAAAAATATTTTAATTCTCGAGTTGAATATCTTGAGATGTGATCATTTTAGTAAAAGTAATGCAGGCTATCAAAATTAATTATCGAGTTAATTCTTATTTCACTTAATTATTTTTTGTATAATTGGTCTAAAAAATAGGTTGATTAATTATCGTTATGTTGAAATAATCTTGAATAGGCCGTTAATTATTTTTGAAGAAAAACTAAGTGGTGAAATCGAAATAAGGTAAGTAAAATCTCACACATTTTACATGTTTTCAAATATATATATATATATGTTTCTAAATAAATGAATGTTTTATTTCATTATTTTCAATGTATGAAAATATGATCAAGCATATAATTATTTTGTGTTTCTTTATATAAATGATAGATCGTACTTATGAATAAAATGAGAAAATAATTTATGTTTAAGGAATGATTTTATAATAATTATGTTTTTACATTTTTTGAAAGTGGAATCATCGACACCAAAGCTATTTCAATAGCCTTAGCTAACGTGTTTAATTGTTAACATAACCATAATCATATGACCTTACTAAAAGGTTATAGTAATTAGAGTAAGGCCCTAACTATCGAATTATAATAGTTAACAATAATTGTGAAGATAAAATTGTCGATATGATCAATGTTATAAGTTATAGCAGTGATCGTAACTAACGATAAATTAATTATTTATGATAATGATGATTTATGATTATTTTAATGATTGATCCATAATTCGATTTGATTACGATATTTAAATGATAGCATATTTTGTAATAATTTATGAATTAACATATTTTGATATTGATTTATGATTTCTGAAATATTTAACACAATGATGATTTTAAAAATGTTTTGACATTATAATTTGATGAATGTTTTGAATTATCTATGTAATGTGTATGAAAATGATATTTGATCCAGTAACGTGTGTGAATTTATATTTGTTAAGCTGTGATTTGTCTATTCCTCTTATTTTTTCTAAATAATTGAGTAAGTGATAAATTTGTTTAATTTTATTAAAAGTTAAAAATCAAATGAGAAAGATTACTTAGTTATCGAAAATAATATTGGTCAATGAAATCTTATGAAATAATTTTATATTTTATATGATGTATATTTAGATATATAAAAATGTATTATTAATTAAATTAAATATATAAATTTTATTTAACAAACTATATCAATTTATTAAAAAATTTTAAAATGATTAAAAAAAACTTCGTATTATTTTAAAATTTTATTTCGAAATAATAAAATCAATCGTGTTGTGTTTTGATCGGAGACGTGACAATATATATACTCTTGTTGTAAAAAAGTGCCAGAAAAAATTTACTCACTGCAAATACAAGACAAAATATATTTGTCAACAAGCTTCTCCATTTTCCAAAATTTGACAGCACTTTCATATGAAAACAACAGTCAAAGGGATCATTGATGTAACATTTTGACATATTTCTTACCCTAAAATTATTTCATTTCCTGAAGAAAAACAGAACAAAATCTGCCAAATAAACAGCAGAGATGATTAAAAAAAGTTGAATAAGGTTATTGGTTTTAACTCTGCAACAGAAGGATCAAGGTCTTCCATAATTCCATACTGTGTAGGTGAAACAATTACATAAAACAAAGTTGAGCCCTTGAAAGAGTTAAATCCTTTGACTAGTCATAAAAATGCACTTCACACTATTTCCTAACTAAAGGCCTTGCAAGCTGTCACAAAGGCACTGAGAACATGAGTGGTGGTGACTTCTGAAGCCACTGTTGCCACACTTGCAGACCACCATTATTTTCGTTGCTTAAAATTCTGAGGCCATAGCCTTGTTGTCTGAGAAGCAAGGTTTCAGTTACTGCCGTTCTTTGCTCCACCATAGATCGTTGGTTAGCTTGAAAGTTAAATCATGTAAATGATCGGATGGTTTCTCATTTCGACCATATTTTAACAACCGGAAAGATTTTCCAGATCCACCTTCATTAAGAGGCTTCTTAATGATTTATTGGCGTTTGCAAGACTAGTCAGACTGTAACTTGCAAGTTGGCTCGCCTCTTAAAATTATAAGTACAGATTGACTCAAGATTTTCTCTATAATTAGCCTTTTTTTTTCCTATGTATTTGAACTTAAGCTTGAGAAATGAGAAATCGATCCGAAAACCATTGTCAATTCGTAACTATTTTCCATGTTAGCATAAACAAGCTGTCATTACAGTATACTGTGTATCGCTACTAGCTCAGTAGCTTACCAAGAAATATCAATTATTGTTGAATAATCAAATAGAAAAATGGCAGTTTCCCACGTTCATCATCTCCAGTGGTTCTTGACGTTTTACTTTAGAAAACGGAATAACATCTCTGATATCACTGAAACAATTACATGTTACAATTTCCAAGTAC